TTTAATCATTTAACTTCCTTGAGTTGCACATTATGCTAAAAACGGTTGATACATTTTTAAACTGAAAAATATAATATCCTGGGATATACTCCAATATGATAATGTCCTTGAGAGTTGACAGTGAAGATGCTGAAGTGGTGGATATCCTTTATAGGATCAACTATCATTGGCCAAGGAACCAACAGTCAAGTAATACATCATAGACTAACACTTGGTAGTCTAGCAATGAAGGCCTTGAAAAAGATATTAAGTTGCTGAGATGTGTCTATACTTACAAAAATCAGAATCATGCAGGCAATGATTTTTCCTGTAATACTGTATAGAAGCAAAAGGTGTAGTTTGAAAAAGCAGGATAGAAAAGTTTTGACACTTCTGAACTTAGGTATTGGAGAAGACTCCTGAGAATACCATGGATATCCAAGAAAACAAACAAATCCAAGAACTCAACTCAGAGTTCTCACTCAAGGCACAAAGACAAGGCTCAAATAATCATACTCTGCACACACACTGTGAAGATCTGGCTCTCTTGAAAAATGTATAATGCTGGGACAGGTTAAAAGAAAGGGAAGAGGAGGACAACTAGCAGCAAGGTGAATGGACTCAATTATAGCAGCAATGGATACACCATTGGAAGATCTGAAGGACTAGGTTGGGGACAAATCATCCTGAATGGTCACTAAGAGTTGACACCAACTTGATGGCACATGATCGTCAATAACGTCCTGCTGCTCAAAAACTCTGCTGAAAGAATGTATCTATCTGCAATGAGAACTCATCATTTTTTTTAAATAACTCTGTTCCTCTGAAAAAGTGAGCTACAGTTTATGGATGTTTACATTAAAAGAAATATGTCAATCTCTTACAGTGCTGCTTTGGGTTCAAAATATTAACTCACACTGCTGCTGTTTGTATAAATATTATTATAGGTGTACTGTATTTGGTTTGTATGCCACTAGAGGCTGCTACAGTGCTATATATTTTAAGCTAGTTCAGCATTAATACCTCTAATGATTCTAGTAAGACAGGGAACAGTGATGTACAAAAAGCTTCCATATTTATCTAATTCTTTTGTATATATGGCTCTTCTGACAGAATGGGCCATGTTCTGGTGGCTAGGGCTGCAATTAACCTGATTTCTTTGTTGGGGGGGAAGATGATGCAAATTGAGTAAGCCATGTTATTCATGTGGTAAGACTTTTTTTATCTTGTTTTATTGAGGTTTTAAAATGTTTTAAAGCTGTTTTCGGGCTTGTACTACACCTTTTCTAGATTTCCCAGCTCAGAATGATGAGGAACTGTGTCACTGACTTTCAAGATTGTGCTATCAAAGTTTGGCAAAGTTTAGTAGAAAAATGATCTTGGGAGTTGCAAATTGGCCTGAACTGCTTTGAGGAAGAATATTAAAGGGTCTAACACAATAATACCTATCTCAAAAAGCTGAGCAGTGGTTCTTCAGAGCTTCAGGTGGGAATCTTTGTTATCTTTATTTTTTAAAAAACGCATTATATAAAATGCCCATGATCCACCTCAGAAAGTTCTGGAATAATATTTCCTTATTGTATTTTGAAGATGCTTGTGGCTAAAGGCCACTTTGCTTGTTAATATTTGAATCTGAGACAATCACTTTAGTGATGAAACTTCATGGAATATGTCCATCTGAAATGACCATGTAGAACAATATATAGAATAATTATGGGTGTGTCTTGTACCTATTGGAAGAAGCATTGGTGAAGGATTGAAATATATATATTCCACAGGAAACCACTGAAGGGTTTTATAACAATAGACAATGGATATCAGATAATTATGTAGGTGTAGCACTTCCCAAGATAGAGCTGGTGCACAATTTGGGGGTCCTCCTGGACTCATGGCTCCTGCTCAAGGAGCAGGTGGTAGCCATGGGTAAGTGAGCCTTTGCACAGATACATGTTGTGTACCCATTGTTCCCATTCCTGGACCGGGAGAAAAATTGGATGAAACATCCTGGAGGAGAATTACTGGAACTATGAGCGGGAGGACTGGATCATATTTTGTTACAGATTTTCACAAGTGGTGATAGCAATGATCTACCCTAATAATGGCATTTTTAGATTACATGTCGTAAATAATGCATTATGTGTTTTGAACACTTCTCCGCTCTTATTGCATCTGCAGAATGCCACCTAGTGGCCCTGTTTAAGATTACCTGATCTCTTCTGGGAAAGGTGGGCCCAGTGACTCACCCACAAGGCCACGCAGAGGAGTGCTCTGGGCATCT